AAAAATGATATGCTTCTTAATAGCATTTGTTCCTTTAATGACTTGTCAGGTAAAACCGTGACAGATACGAGCAGGGTGGATATCTAAATGTACATGTTATCGGTCACGCCGAAATCTTTGTTGATCATAGGTTCCGGCCCGGCAGCTCCTGGCAGCTCCTGGCAGTCCATCGAAGAGTTTGGTCAATGTGAGTAGTTCGAGCTACGTGCGCTACAGCTTTCATCTTCCATTTGCGTCGCACTTGAAGCAAATGATGGTACATTCCAGCAGGACGAGGTTTTTCTCATCAATGCAGTATGCGGGCTAACGTTCCATTGCAGCGCTGCGAAGACCGACTCAGTCGTGAGCTATCCGGGCATCATTCCAATGCGTTATAAAGGTCATCGGTTGACCATTCGTTCTCTCCCGCCTTGCTGTGCGCGCTTTCGATCTGAGCATGCAGTTGTCGCTGCTATGCCCCGGTTCAGACTCCCGTGTTCCTTCTTATTGATAACACCCGGTGACAGTCCTAGGATACACGTGCAGATCGAATCACCGTACAATTATTACTACAATAGGCGGAGATTTTGACGCTGAAACTTGGGTGAAGAGGCGCCGGGCGCCGGTTCCAAATAACACAGAGGCCCGTCGCAGGGCATGCGCAAATGCCATTCATATTACACCATTGAATGCCACCATTATCTCGTCTACTGAACTGGCAAACACTATGGGTCCCTTTGCTCTGACCATACATGAATCACTGCACCACGAATCACTCATGCACCACAAGACCGACACCAGTTCTGGGGGTTGGATGCAAATGCTATCAAATGCAAGGTTCAAACAACCACTGTCGAAGAAGAGACGTTGCCAGTTGGGGCAGCCCCAGCGATGACAAGAGGATTGGCCCCCATCGTAGAAGGTGAATTCTCGTCCCTGATATTTCCCCTTTGCAGCGACTCTGAGTTGGGTACCTTTGATGGTGGGAGAGCAAAAGGCAAGGTGTTGCTGAATGTGAGTCAGACATGCGGGGATGATGGTGTCAGCGGTGATCACGTTCATGATGATTGTGGACGTCCACTCACCCCCAGGAGCAATTAGTCCATGTGCAGTTGCAACTAAAACAAGTGATGCAAAATCGAGCCTGCACACCAGATCTTTCAATGGCATGTCTATAATAATGCATTAATCCACTGCGCAGAGCAGGTAAGTCACAATGACAAACACCGGCGAATAAGTACCTAGTTCTTTCTGTGCGTCGAAGCTGTCCACTTACAACTGGAAATCGATCCAACAGATGCCAGTGCATCGTACAGATCCCTTCTGAACTCACTTCGTGCAAACCATCATGTACATCAGCAAAAAGTCCGGAGCCCGATCTGGGAAGACATGGTAGATAATCATACCTTTGAACTGCAAGACAATATATTCTCAGAAATTTGTCCACGTCATCTGCTGGCCATTGATCTGATCACCACTGGCCAGTTGAATGATTATCTGACACTCAACTGAGTTAATCTGACAGGTATGCACAGATTTAGTCAGATATGAGGACAGTGATCCAGGCAGGCTGAAAGAATACTATGGATTGAGTGTACACAAATGTTTGTATGAATCAGCATAGTCAATTCATGTCTACAAGGCAGCTCATCATTTTCACCCAACATATCATCTCAGCTCTCATTATCCCTTTCCGCTGCTCCGTGCTCAACTTCGGGATCTTCGGCCTCCTCATCGAGAACATAGCCGTAATCGTATTCCTCGTCCTCCATGTTCTGGCCTTGCACATCATTCTTCGTGCTGCCCCACGGTCACACCTGCTCAACACACTGTAGCAAGCACCCGCAGGGCGCACGTCCAACTCAAAGTCTCTCTCTCACGCACCGCGATATGTCGACCTCATCTTTCGTGTCGTCCCCCATATCTGCTGCGACTATGTGCCACGCCTTCTGCAACGATGGCAGCGTGCTGTCCTCAACCTCCCCGAGGCGTAGGCCCTCGATGTCTCATGCGATGAATTCGGCCAGAGCGTGCCCGCGAAGAGTGCGCCGCCCGCCCTGCTCTGGCATACTCTCCTACTATCCTCAGTCGCGATGTTCGAAACTCTCAGATGGCTCAGCGTCACATGCTTTATAATTCTCCCGCCTGATAGACTCTGAAATGCTATCTTCTCATTTCTCGTTGCGGCTACGTGGCTATATGTGACTATTTGTCCGATGCTTTTTCCCACCGCCACTCCACCTGCAGACTTGCTTGTTTCATTTACTTTGCATTTTGTGTTTGCTACACTCACATTTGGTGGTGCGCTATTCGACCACAGTATCCTCGGCATGACTCCCCCTTCGTCGATCACCATGGTAGGGCATATAGGCAACCTGGTGGCGATCTCGCTGTTATTACTTGTCATCCCTAACATGCCTCTTGACATCAGCAGCTACATCAAGGAAGAGGATATTGTGAGTAGTAATCTGCATTACATGTACTCCTCTGACTCTGTCCAGGGACACACTGTCTCGCCCGAGGACTATACGTCCCTTTGGAGTTGGATGTCCTTTCGCTGGGTGCTGCCTCTTGTCGAGCGCGTAGGTCATCTCCACACTGATCTTCTGACCTCTTCTCTTATCTGCTCACCAGGGCACCTACAATACCCTTAACGAATCAGATATCTGGGCGCTGAGCCCGATGATGCAGTCCTGCCCACTGTACATCAAATTCACCTGCACGCACCATAGCACTCTTCTCCAGTGGCTGTGGGCGGCCAACGCGCTCGACCTTCATTCTCGACTTTGTTCTCATGTACGTCAGCATCGTGTTCAACTACGCGGGACCATTCTTTCTCAAGCGTATCCTCAACTCGCTCGATGTGTGCGATGAGCAGTCTCACGAGGAAAGGTCATTGGCGTACATATATGCGGTGTTGGCGTTCTTGTCGAAGGTGTGCAAGGTGCATGGTGCATGGTTTGTCATGGAAACGTGTGCTGAAATGTGTGTGAGTAGGCCCAAGTGGATGTGCAGCACCTGTGGTTTAGTCGACATGCGGCGACGCGCATCCGATCAGAGCTTATGGTCGCTATCTACGACAAGGCATTGAAGCGCAAGGACTTCTCAGAAATTGTTGACAAAGACGCAAGCAAGGCCGCTAAGGCGCCCGATGCCACTGGTGTGTTGTTTGTGTGTATTCTTATGTTGGTGAGTGGCTGATTTTTTTTTTTGTTTCATAGATATAAGCAAAGCGAAGGCGGGCGCAAAAGCAGACAATCCTAAGGTGAGCGCAGACATTGGGAAGATCGTGAATTTGATGGCAGGCGATACGAATAAGGTGCGTGCGGGGGTGCATCGGTGGAAGTGGGCGCACGCCAATGCTTAGTGCATATCTCGAACGTAGTTGCTGGGTCACAGATGATTTACGGAGGTGGGTCGAAGGGACGTTAAATTGCTCTCAGTCGTTTTGTCCTCACGTTCATTCGCAGTGCCATTTGAGATCGCAATTGCTGCGACATTCCTTTATCAGTGAGTGGGCTGTCATGAGTGACTGGTTCACGCACTCTAACATGAAGCTTTCAGACTGCGGGCTGGTCTGCATTTGTCAGGTTCATTGTCCTCGTCGTCAGCTGGCCGCTTCACAACTACATCTCTCGGCGAGCGGTGCACCAGAGGAGTTGTGGAATGTCGACGGATGGCTGGATGTGTGAGTAAAATATTATTTCTGATGTTTCATGCGCATATATGCACTGTATATTGCTATATAGTGACCAGGAGAAGGTGTCCGAGTTGATGAAACCGTTCTGTGCTCTTCTCAGAATCATCCTAGTATACATTTGTTGGACAGTAATTTTACCAGTAATCTGTGGCAATAATATGATATTCTGGTGTTCCTACAAAATAATGGGTCTGATAATAAATAATCTTTCTAGACAATTGTTTATCAGCCCTGTCTGAATTGACCCGACAGATAATTGTTTCCTGCATTATCTGTAGATTTTCTGAGCCCATGGTAAAAGGTAGGCTGGTCAACTCACCGGTGGGCAGCTGATCTGGGACGGTGAGGTTAGTCAGTCATTTAGAGGTCGCTGATCTGGACGAACAATACATCATCTGGAAGATTTGACAGTCAGTCACAGATCACGCATGTTGGAGATAGTTCATACCAGATAGGGCTCCGGACTTTTTGCTGATGTACAAAGTCAAACACTGCAACTCAGACACACAAGCCAAACTACATCGATGCCTGAACAATAGACTCCAAACCGATCACCGTACGTTTTCGATGGTCTCTTCCTATATGACGCATTCGAGTGAGATCGGTCAAACTGCGCAATGGAAGTACGCGAGCAAAGAACAATAAAGGCAGTGGCAGGCACGTCAAGCATGATCGATGAAATGTTCGAGGACCACGTGGAATCGAGGGAACTTACCAGTTGCGTACCTCTGAACATCACTGACAAACAATGAGACAGCAGGACAGGCAATCCGTATCGAGGTGAAAATCCATGTATATCATTCGTCAAGCATACACATGACCTATGAATACTACCTCCAACCGGAGGAGAGCAGTAACCAATTGAGGGATGCGACCGTGCACACTCTGAGACGTCTCCCGAATGTGCAACTGGTGGCCGAGGTATAAAGAAACAGAGCACATCGAATAAGAACACGTTAATAGCGAGAAGCGCTGTGAATGAACGTCAAAATCAGAGCATAGACCATTTAATAAATGCCAAGTACTCACCATGCACCGCCGCGAGGAAGTACATAATTAAGCGACGTGAGCATATATAAAGCAATAAGTACACGCTGACAGCGAGAAACACTGCAAATCAACGTCGAAATCATTACAGACTACTCACCATGCACTGCCACGAGGAGGTACGTAGAAAACGCCATCGAGCGACGTGAGCGGATAGAAAGCAAGAAAGCTCAACAGGGGCAGCGCGATGACGAGGAGGAGGGGCGAACGTTACGTAAACTACTTCCTAAAAGGTGTCGAACTGCAGCGACGATTATTACGTAAGCCGTTCGCGTTCCACATTCTGTCAATAGCCAAATTACTTTGTTATTTGGAACGTGGCATGTGGGTGGCAGCCCTTCTTATCTTCTGCACCAACGTGTGGAAGTTATCCAGATATCCCTAGATATCCTGATGTGCTATCATAACGTAACGACGTTCTACCGTTCCCGATAATGCGAATGTTCTGGAGACTATGTGCGTCGAGGTATCCATCCATCCATCATCATTGGACAATTGTCGGAACACGTCATCTCCGAACTGTAGACTTACAGGGCGGTTAGTCCCTGTGCAGTACTTCCGTTGACTTACAAATAATGCAAACCTCATCGGCAGAAAAGTTGCAGTTTGCAGTTTGCAGCGCGAAGGCACACCAGATTTCGCGAATGGCCGTGCAAATCGCGGTACGGCGTCACGTACGGCAGAGGGTGGTACGAGATTGCTTCTGTTAGGGTTTGTTATGATGGATATCCAGACTCAAGTTCCAAGCCGCTCGTATAAACCGCCGCTCCTCGTTATAAGCGTTTTCTGTAATGTAGTTCTGCCCAACCGAGCATACTCATGGTGCCTATGTGAGTCATTCATCGTCTCTGCACTTTGTCTAACATACTCAACATGATTCAGGTCAGCGCGGTTTCATAGCCTGGTGTTGTTGCGGATTTTGACGACGTACATGACACAGTTACCGTCAGAAATCTGGGAAAACGTGTTGGAGCACTTGTGCAGCGATACCGCCGCTCTCGTATGCTGCGCGTTGGTCTCTCGGTCGTTCTCGTGGAAGAGTCGCTATTTACTGTTCAGCCGCGTCAGACTCACAAGTCGGAAAAGTCTATATTCCCTGGCAAGGGTCGTGAAGGATAGTAGGCCAGGGTCTCCGTGGCATCACCCTCAGGAGCTTCATTTGGAGGAGAGGCCGTCATCTGAGAACTGCCAAGGTTCATTCGTGCACCTAGCGCCCATCATATTGGCAAGATATTTGACGAAAGTGGAGGTCCTGTCATTCTCGTCAGTCAACTGGCACGCAGAAACATTAATCTTGAGCTCCTCGTTCGAAGCGGCAATGTCCTCCCTAGGGTCTTTGAAGACGCTATCGATCAGTAAATGCATGTTTCCAAACCTCCATGCGCTTTACCGTCTCATCCGTTGCATGCCGCGACTTACATCACTGAATGTGTCCGACTGCGATGTACGTCTCGCGCGAAGAACACCGGAACACGCCATGCCTATTCTGCGCCTTGGACTGACTCGGCTGGTAATACGAGATTGCCCAGCCATCGTCTCCGAAGATCTTATTAGCTGCCTCCGGAGCAGTCCGACCCGTCACACTCTCCGTACATTCGTCTTAAAGACGGACTCTTCGTGCGACGTCGCGAGCATATTGACAACCTGGGAGAACCAGCTCGAGCACTTCGAAGTTGACAATGGACAAAGCGATGCATATAAAGGTAGCAGTATTGATCTTCTGCTCGCATGCCCTCACTAACACACTCTTCAAGGACTCGACGCGACACAGACTCGCGATGAGCGTTCCAGTGACATATCGTCTCGCATCGCCGAATGCCACATACACTCCATCGACACAACGCACGCCGCAGCATGCCCCGATGCTGCAATGGCAAATTCATCGGTGGATTCCTTTAGACCAGTGGAGAGCATGGCATTCTGTCATGAATTGCATTTGCGAAGCAGCTTTCAGGCGAAGGAGGATCCCTCCGTTCTTCCTTGGTCACAAGGCGGCGATCTCGATTCGGGGAATCTGTTTCTACAGCAGCTCTCCTCTTTCGTAATAGATGATCGCATCCTCGAATTTCTTGCGTCCATCATGCCGGCGAGTGGTGTATCTCCCAAGCCATCCCACATGCAATGTGCATTGCCTCTGCATCAAAACAGAATAACTGCCTCTCTCATGCCGCCACGAAGGGCTATAACAGTCCTAGAGCTCAAAAACCACACTTTCAGGAGCTTTTCGGAGTTACAGGATCTTATCGACTACCTCCCAGAACACTCGACATTTCATGTTTGCAACTGCAGCATAGAACGTGCACAAGGCATAACAGATTGGGCTCACCATGATCAGGACCCAAAACTCGCTGTGCTGAGGCTAGATGGATGTTGTTCGTCACTGTCCTCTCCCCTTGTTACGTGGCTGCTAGCAACACCGACGCGTCAATCACTTCGAACGTTCCTCTTGCGGGGCGACATCCAATTCTCTGTTCTTGAGGATATTCTTTCCGTGCTGTCTTGCAGATCGGCGCGTTTTAGAATTCAGTACACACGGGAGCAGCGAGATGACGGGTAACACAAACATCTTTTTGTCCAATCCCGTTCTTTTCACAAGCTTTTTTTTAGGAGTGACCTTTCTCCAGAAGTGCCACGTGAAAGCCTCGTCACTGCGAATATTCATCTTGCCCGTGACCCGCCCCGTAAGAAGACGGTCGAGACAGAGCTGTCGCCGCTGTCGCACCGCCGCGACTTAGAAACTCGATCGCTTCAAGAACGGCCGGCTTGCCCACGCACGCGTTCGTCGCCCGTGACCTGCGACACCCCTAATTTATGCGACTCATCGCATGGCCGGCCAGTTGAAGCAGAACACATCAGCAGGTGATGCAGATACTTATCCATCCAGTCGCATTTTCTCATATGCTTTCCGCAGATGCGACCATCACACAGAGGGGCCGCGCGAAAGCTTGCATCCTGCATGTCTCCCAAATGGCTTGACTGATGGGCCACATAGTCAATCAATGGAAGCAAAACGGTCGGAACCGCTAGGTCGCTTCCTCACATGGCATCAGCGTCTCCGGGCTGTACCTGCTCAGTCTTCACGGCTCGTCAATTCCTCCCAAACGCGAGCTCAATCGCATCCGCAGTCAATTTGTCCAGCCCCATCTTCGTCATCCGTCAAACTCAAGGAGCGCACTTTACGTCACTCATTGGCTCGGGCAGTTCGTTCCTTGTCGCCCACGAAACTC